GCTGCCCCACGTTGGCCTGGCCCCGGCGGCCACTCTCCATGAGGCGCTGGTCGGGGCGCAGGCGGCTGTCTGTGGGGGCCACGCGCTCCTCGGGCTCGTTCAGTGTCAGCGCCAGGTCCGAGAAGAAATACATGTTCTCAGCGTTCTCCCTGCAGCCAGAGCGCCCTGGTCAGCGCGGTGGAGGTGGTGCCACCTTGAGCAGAGCTCCCCAGCCCCTCTGCTGTGTCCTCACACCTCCCCCCAGCCCCACTGATGCTTCTCCTGCTACCCCAACCCAGACGGTTTTTACAGAGCCAACTGCTTTAAAATTGAAGATATATTTGATATACTGAGTTGGATGGAGCTTGGAGCAACCTGGTCTAGTGGAAAATATTCCTGCCCATGGCAGGGGATTGGAACTGGGTGAGCTTTAAGCTTCCTTCCAACCCAAACCAGGCCAGGATTTGCGGAGCCCTTCCTCCCACCTCCTAAGTGAAGACGCCACTGATGCCTTGATGGGTGTCTTGGAGGGGAGCAGATCCCTCCTCTGCTGCCTCCACAAGGGGAGGCTAAAAGCCAAGCCTATGACCTCCGAGTGCACAGCCAAAACACAGAATGGCTTCACCCAAAAGTTGTTGGATCATAGAATCACAATTGGTTAGGGTTGGAAGGCACATTAAAGTTCACCTAGTTCCAACCTCCCTGCCATGGGCAGGGGCACCTCCCACTAGACCAGGTTGTTCCAAGCCCCGTCCAACCTGACCCTGATCTGGTACCTCCAACTGCCCCAAACATCCCCCAAAGCCCCCTTCCCCTTTCAGGGACCTGCTGCTTGCTCACAGCCAGACAAAGCCACACAGCCACCCAAGGCCTGGCCCCGTACCCACGTCCTCTGCTCTGGGCACACAAGTGCACCCCATGGGGCTCAGGGTGACCGAAGGGACTCACGGGAGGGGGTATTTCTTCCACAGGACCTTTGGAGTCAGCGTCTTTTTGGTAGACGTTTTTCTGCTTGCCCTCTGTGCTTGTGCTGCCGTGGCTGCTCTGCACGATCTTGGAGCACTCCATCTTCTCGTCCCACGTGCCAGACATGACATAGTGGGCTTTACCATCAGAGTCACTCACCACCCCTGTCACCTGGCAGGAGGAGATCGCTCTGGTGGCGTTTGGAAAGGACAGGCAGAGGTGTAGGGGGGGACAACACCCTCCAGGTCCCCAGTCGGAGCCCAGGACACGGGGAGTGTGGGCCCATTCTGACCATGACGTGGGGTCTCCAGCCCATCAAACCCTTTGCAGGTCTCAGTGCTGCAGCTCCAGCACATGGAGAACCCAACATGGGCTCTGCTTGGAGGTGTTCCCCCGTCCTCCCTGGTGACCCACGGCACAGGAGCCAGTATGGACAGTACTGTGGCCCTTTTAGCCCAGCTTAGGGGCAAGAGCCAGGTCCCATCCCAGCCAGGACAGCCAGAAGGAGCAGGGAGACTGATGGATACTCACCTTTCGGGGAACATCTCTGGAGAAGTAGCTGTAGGGGGTAAATTTCAGCTGGCATTTATCTTTTGACTTATGGTTAACAATCTCTATTTCACCAGACTAGATAAGAGACACAGAACCAGAGCAAGTGAGAGGCTTGGCAAGGAGACAAATCAGGCATTAGTTGTAGTGCAGGTACAGATCAACACCAGCTGCAGCATCACCCATGGCTGC